AGAGCTGGCACCTTGGACCCAGCTGGAGGTGGCTGACCTCCTGGCCAATTGGGGCCAGGAGGACATGCTTTGACAGTTCAAAGCAGGCCACCATACTGGACACCTTACTGCAGGCCACATCTTCTGGGCAATAGCTGCCCAGATGGCCAGGCAGGGTGCACACATGGTAGTAGTGCCACACAAAGGTCAACCCTGCAGCTGCAGCCCACTGGCAGCTGGCGCAGAGGGTCAGATGCCTCTACTAGCTGTGCAGTCCCCATCTGGGTCTGGCAGGTGCGCAGCAGGTCACAGCCAGGCAGCAGCCCCCACTGCCAGACTGCTGCAGTGGGTAAAGGGTGCAGGGAACTCTCAGGGCTACTTCAGCAATCCAGCTGGCACAAGGGGTAGTGTCTCCAGGTACCAATTGGCTGGGTCCCAGAAGCTCCTGAGAGCTAGTAGCCCTGAGCTACTTGACAGAGCAGCTTTTTGTACTGATGAGGCCAGGACAGGGTCCCAGGCCACAGATTTTTGTACTGATGGGGCAGAGGTGCTGGCCCCTGGCTCTAGCTCACCCTGGCTGCAGATCCAGGAGGAGCCAGACAGGTTTATTTTGCCCTAAGTGGCACAATTTGCCCCACACCAAAGTGCATGTCCAGGCACATGTGCTGAGGCAAAAAGCCCGGGATCAAATTTGCACCGCTTCTATTTGAGCTGCTGCAAGCGCACATGCCCCTTGTCTTCAATCTTTTCTTTTCCGTTTAGCTTTATTCTTCTCCTGGTACACACTGGATTCTTCAGCCTTTTCAGTATGATTTACCATTTGGTAACTTGTTTATTGACATATAGCTGACTCTGCTTTTACCATTCATTCATTCATTCATTCATTCATATATCCAAATATATATATAAAGACACAATAACAAAAGATAAAGATACAATAACAAACTTAATTTGTAATAGCAACTTAAAATCACTACATTAAAACATAAAATAAAATGACTGCTATACTCATGCTAAACACTATTGATTTATACTAAAGCTTAATTAAAACTAAATATTATTAAAATAAAACAAATGCAAATTAGCTTAAAAAAATAAACCAATGCTGGTACAACATAGTAAGTTACTGCTCAGCAAGCAGGAATAGACCGGCATCTACATGTGCAGGCATTATAGGGCATTAAGGCTGTGTGGACTGACTTGGGACTAAAGTTAGTAACATTGCACACACAATGATACTGCACAGTAAGGCGTCTACATGTGCGTTACTGTGCAGCATCTAATTGGGCATAAATTTGATACCTGCATGATCCAGATATCAAATTTACGCTTAAGTCTGATACTGCTATAATAAAATATTGGCTTCCACTATTTATCAGGAACATCATGTTGGTGACAGGCTGGTAAATTCACTGATTCTACCTGGGAACCTGTCATAAAGACTAATCGGCACTTCAGACCTTTTTCCTTTCACATGAACTACATGTCACAGAAAATGTTAAGGAGCATTTACTAATGGCATTAACTACCAACTAAAACTCCATTGATCAAAGCAGAATGTGAGGTGCCCTGCCCTCGGTTTGCTTTGTCTGCTAAGCTTGCTAACTTAGACCCCCTACAAACATTATTTTTATTTTGGTAGTACTAGAGGCATCTACACATGCCTCTTTTAGGAGCGATTAGCCTAAAATCACCACTTTTAAGGTGCATTAAGGGCACAGGTCTACACATGTGCACCCTTAATGCACCTTAAAAATGGTGATTTAATAAGAATCATGCCTAAGTATGATACCTGAATAAAGCAGGTATTAAACTTAGGTACAAATAGTTATGGTACCTTAAGAGACATGTAGACATCTTAAGGTGCCTTAATGTGTGTATGTCAACTGAGTGGGCTGGAGCTGAGCCTGCAGACCCCTGCGCTGCTGCCAGGCGCCACCAAAAAGAAGCCTTGGTGGGTGCTGTTCTCCAAGGCGCAGACACTGGAGCCGGAGCGGTAGTTCCAGCAACAGCATTATCTGTCAGTGTGCTGACTGACTTGGGACTAAGCCCCTGACACTGCTTCTTCTTGGTGGTGCCAGGCAGCAACACAGGCACCCACAGACTCAGCTCCGGCCAGCTCTTGACTGATGCTGGGGAGTCAGGAACACAGGGAGGGGGTTAGAGCCATGGCTGGGGCTGGGACTGGGCTGATCGTGTCTAGGGGGACTGGAGGCTCCCACCCCCTCAGCCAGTGCTGGGCTGTACCACCCAGCTATGCTGCTGAAGGCATTGGGGTGCTGGCAGGCAGTTTGGTACCCCATGGCCAGGCCCAGCACTGAGTGCAGCTGCCTTGAGTTGTTAAAACAGCCTGGGGGCTCAGGTGTGCCCTTTGCTCACTTGGAGCCAAGCCACCTCTGGTTGCAGTCCAGCAGCCCCAGCTCTGCACGTGCCACTGACAGATCCTCGGGTGTGCCCCATGCCTTTCTCTGCGCTTCGCAGCCAGGAATGCACTCATTGTTCGTGCTGTGCCCAGCCACTTTCCCAGTGCGGCACTTGCCCACAGGCCCCAACACAGCTATGTATGTGGGGAGGGGGGGTGGGGACCTGTCCAGGGTGCTGGTTATGCTGAGGCACATTATGTTTAAGCACGTGTAAATTCACATGTAGACACACCCTGGCTGTAGCACTACAACAAATGAAATGCTATGGGCAGCCACACATTTAAAGTGCCCTGGCTACAGCACAGAGTTGTCACAAAGGCACGCTCCAGCCAGGGAGCAATACAGAACTGCTCCATAGCCAGCTGGAGCTGCTCTTGTGTTGTCTGGGAGCCCATTAGAGATCCCCATGTTTAATGGGCTGCTAGTGTCGGAACACCACTAGCCCTTTACATTTTCAGGGTTGCTGGCAGTTTGTCACCCTTGCTGGGCAGTCTAAACCCCAATCAGGCCCTGGTGCAACTTGCACAAGTCTGTCAATCTTGCTACCAGGCAGCAAGTGACAGGGCTGTCTGAGGGTCCCCCATAGAGACAGAAGCTGATCCCAGGACTGTGCCCCCTATTGGCCTTTGCCACTTGCACTGGAGGCAAGCATGAAGGGGCTCCTTGCAAGCACAGCAGGAGCCACTGTGGGGTGCAGATGCCCACAACAGCCTCTGCTGCCACTTACAAGGTATCCCCTTAGCCTTACTGCCCAAGCAGGGCTATTCCCGGGCACCCTGTGAGGTGAGGGCAAGTTCTGCTTGCAGTCCCCAGCTCTGCAGGGCCTCAGGCTGTTCAGGGTTGCTCCTCAGGTAACAGCGGTGTAGGTTGTCTGATTGCCACCTCACCAACCTTAAAAACGCTTTCACCCAACAAGGACACTCCCCCAGAGAGACAGATCGCACGTTTGAAAGAGCCACTTGGATACCACGTGAACTGCTTCAGTACAGAAGAAGAACCCCCCACAAAGCGCACACTGCTGGTTATGACATATCACCCCTCCCTTGAACCTGTACAGAAAATCCTCAAACAATTGCAACCCATACTAGAAAGAGACCCTATTCTTAAAAAGATCTTCCCAGAACCAACCGTCCTAGCCTTCAAACAAGCACCAAACCTCGCTAACCTCATCACCAGAAGCAAACTTCCTCAGGCCCAGAACACACCAAAAGGATCCAGACCATGCCATGACAAGAAATGCAAAACCTGCCAACACATCTCCACCACCCTCACAATCACTACACCCCACAACAGAGCCATCAGCATTCCCGGATCTTACAGCTGCACCTCCAGAAATGTAATATATCTCATCCAATCCTCCAAATGCCCTGATGGAAAATACATAGGAGAAACCAAACAACAACTGCGCACCAGAATGATTGCACACCAGAAATCTATTAAAGACAGAAATACCCAATTACCTGTGGGGGCACATTTCTCACAAGAAAACCACTCTCTCTCCAATCTCTCAGTCCTGATCCTCAAAGGAAACTTACACAACACTTCCCAGAGACGAGCCTA